AAATCACTATAACTGCTGTAAAAAAACATGTATTAAATTTAATAAAATTTATATACTCATTTAAGAAACTATCAGTTAAACTTCTATCGTCAGCAGATCTCTGCTATTTAAAGAACCAATAACCAGAAACAGAGTTCATTCTAGATAATACAAAAAAATATATATTCGTTTTTAAAAACTTGATCTTTATTCTCATTAACATTCATTATCACCTCAATTAAGATTTTAGAATATTATATCTACGCATCACAAGTACCCCCATTCAATTGATGGGTTCATTCTCGTCCAAATCCCAATTGCGTAGGATCGTGCCATGTTTCCTTATCATGGCATGAAATATCTCCCCACAACTCTGGTATCGTCGCCACTTGCCCTATCGAATATAAACTGCTCTTCCACTCTGGGGTCCCCCTGAGACACCAATTTCTCAAATGTAATCGTTTTCCGTACCTGAAGCATTGGTGGTTAACCCGGGTAGTTCGTAACGTTGTTGTCACATATCCAGCGGTAGAAATGGTTATCTTCTTCTAAACCTGTTGGGTGTCTGCCTAGGACTAATAATGAAGTGCATCTCTACATCTTTAAAAATCCATCTCGATCTCATCATCAATAATCCTTTACTTATGTGAGTTTATTTATAAAACACATAATAATCTCTTAAACGAACTTTATTATAACACTTAAATTTTTTTTTAAAAACAAACTCCAACATTTTTATTTCTACCTAACAATTACTTTAACACTTAAATATCTTTTACAGGGGAAAAAAATCAATTTAACACCTTAATATTTTTATACCAAATCACTTGCTTAAATACCATCCGCCCCTCCCCATCCCCTTTTTTAAAAAATATCGTTACAATAACTTCATATACCCTATTTCTTAATCGCTATAAAATATTTAACCTTTAATTCTTTTACCGTAATTGATAAAACCAGCAATTTTCCAATACAATTTTTATCCAACTTAATAATCTCCACAAAAAATATTTATTTTACATCTGTGATTTATTACCTAATTTTCTTAGGTTCTTTTTCTTTTGTTAAATTTGCCATTTGTATCAAATACCCCTCCAATTAGATTGAGAATTTCAAATACAACCACAACTATTAGTTTAAGAATTTCCAAAAAATGTACCAGATAATTCCTTATTAACTTCAACAACCTTAACCCTCAATTGTTCCAAAAATTTTCAAACATTGAACCAAATAGCTCTCGATTAGTTTACGAAGAAAAATACAAATCCGATACTCTAAATTATTTTAAGAGTTTTAGAAATACTCAACGCATAAACCCCGATTAGTCTGCAATTAAAAAAAAAGTACCACATAACTCTTAATCATTTCAAGGAATATTAAAACTCACACCTAATAACACAATTAATTAGAAAATTCACTGATCATTATCCCAAAATGTCAATGATTATAATCTAAAAATGTCGCATCCCACTCTTTTGACTCCCACTAAGAAAAGACTCAAGGGATAATATTCGCCCCCCCCCCCTCAAAAAAAGTTTCAATCATAAAAGGAGAGGTCCGATCAAAAAAGGGGTTAATCATATAAGGAAAAAGTCCTATCAAAAAAGGAATAGTATTTGATACAAAAGGAAAATTATCAAATAAAAAAGGAAAAGGCAGTGGTCTCTAGAGGGATGAAAGTAGAATACCCCCTAAAGAGTAATCCTTCCACCACCCTCCTCGAAAAAATGGTTATTTTTCGATACCTATAAATTTCAAAAATCATTTTTATTGCAACAATCTTTAATGTTTTGATTGTGTTTTTAAATTCATTATGATTAAATATTTTATTCCAGTCATCAACTACCAAAATTATCATGGCCTTATGCTTGGGATTTTTAATATTAAATATTAGACATCCTATATTTTGACCAAAGCCTCTTTGGTGAAAAGGGAAAGAAAAATTATAATATGGATTTTTTGGGTTCATATTGAAAATTATCGAGTAAAAGGTGAGCTCATCTAAAACTTTTGAAGAAGTGGAGTTGAGCTTGTAAAAATGTCCTTACACCTATACCCATTTTTTTAAATTGAACAATTTTAACCTCATATCGTTGAGATAGGAACAAGGTCCGGTCAATTCTTTTTTATTTGTTGACACAATTTTATTAAAACTAATAACCTCTCATAATCAAACACTTGAATAAATTAATTAAGCAAGACTTGAATTCCGATCATAGAAATGTTTAAGTTCATAAATTTAGAACTAACCAAACCATTTAAAAATGATATTTAAAGTCATATTTTATTTTAAAACAATAAACCACAAGATATATAATTGCTCCATCCCCCCCCCCCCCCCAAAAAAAAAATGTTTTAAACTATAAAACTAAAATAAAATGGTTAAAAACAATGAGTAGAACATAATCAATTTTATCGATTCACCAAAATGTAATATAATGGCTGAAAATCTTAAAAAACAACAGGCAAATAGCGACACATTTACCATAAAAATGATTTTATCATCCAAAATATTCAGTCCTCTTTCATAATTTTACATCAATGAAATCTATACAATTCCAATATATCAAAATTTAATTGTAGATTAATGATACAAGAAATTTAAGTAAATACTTTTTCCTTTAATATTTCCTTTACTTTTAGATTATCAATCATCCTCAATTATTATACATCAATTAATAACCAACAAGTTCTTTTATATTATTCCTAACATAACACTCTACATTATCAATTCTATCATTTTTACCAATCTTTACAATTTACCCTTATTTATACCAAAAACTGTTGACTATTATAAAATTGTCATCCAAACATTTTATTTAAATGTACAAAACACAATCAATATTCACACTTGAAAAGGATAATACATTTAATCTCTTATCTAATTATACTATTGATTCAAATCCTTTAAAGCAAACTAATATTGCTATAAAAGCAGAAAGGGAAACTGAATATTTCACCAAAAAATAAAATAATTGCCAACAGAAAATAATTCTCTGCCAAACATTTATTCAGAAAATGATATTGAAAATGTGATTTCTATAAGACCACTTGCACATCATTATGCTATAATACAAAACTTTGACAATGATTTACCCCAAAAATATGACTGAGAGTTAATTACATTGTATTAGAAGAATATGGACTCTACAGCTTACTATTGCAAAAACCCCTTCATGAACTAAATATTACAAGCTAGACTGCAAACTAATATGAATTCAAATAAATACAAAAATTAAATGATATTGAAAGTGGGATTTCTATATGATCACTTGCACATAATTATACTATGAATAAATCATCTTCCATAATCAAACCTCAAATATTGAATAAATCTTATCAAAAATTGCCAAACATTTATTCAGTTAATAATATTTCACCAAATATTTATCCAGAAAATGATATTGAAAGTGGGATTTCTATATGATCACTTGTACATAATTATACTATGAGTAAATCATCTTCCATAATCAAACCTCAAATATTGAATAAATCTTATCAAAAATCAAAAAAATAACTCATTAAACTTCCTTAATATACCAACCCACAAGAAACCCATATTTGAAGATAAAAATAATATCCAACATTTTCACCCTTAAACTGATAAAAAAATTTTAATTCATGAGCTTACCAGACCTCAGCACAGCTTCTACCAAATCTAACTGCCCTTTATGTAATAAACTCGTTAAAGTAACTAAATTGGGGCTGCCTCATCGAAACCAGAAGATAAAATGTCCTCAATCTGGGCTTCCCATCTTATCACCAGCTATCCCTCGAACCTTAAATACCTTTTCTGCCCTTGCGCTCGCACAACCTATAGTTACCATTCCCACGTTGACTGATGTGCCTACTAGCCCAATAGCCACCACCTTAACCGCCGAAAATGCTCTCACTTTCAATCCAACTGACTCCACAGATGTAGAAATATTTTTAGTCACACCAAAACCATTTGTGATTTCACGAATACCTAAGGGAGCAAGACTTCAAGTTGCCAAACACCTCTCAAAGAACTTGACTTCCTTGATAAATAATTATTCTTTCATAAAACACTGGCTAGACCAATGACATATAATAATACCTAGACTGACGATTCATTCAGTACGTATGAATGCAAATCAGCTGGAGACGCCATTGACGCCATGTTGGTTACATCGATGATAAAATTTATAATATAAAAAAATATAATGAATATCAATTAAAATATCCTTTCAAATATTCTGGATAAATTATGATTTTACAATAATATTTATAATATAAAAATAAATGCTTAGCTTCAAATACATTCTTAATAATATAACATTTTTTTTTACATATTATAAATAAATATGTAGTATTTATTAAAGTATTATAGTATTTTGTTTAATCTTCTTAAAGTCCAATTCAAAATGATTTTTATATTATTCATAATATTTATTATGATTAAAGAAATGAAATACTTATGAATTTAATATTTTAAGGAGTTAAATTGATTCTTATTAACTATTTAACATTTAGCAACCATATCGCAGTTATGGAGAAAATTTAAACCATTTTTACTTTTATTAGGATATCCTTACCCATGTAAAATCTTGATCTCTTGGTATTTATTTTTTCCAATTTTTATTTTATTTATTATTTTTAATAAGTTTTTATCATTCCTTTTTCTAATATTCAATTTTTTATGTTTATTATATTTATTATTGATTTACTATATTTCTTAGGATAAATTCTGTATTGCAAACAAGAGATATATCGCATACAACTTGTTCTTCCTTACATTATATTATCCAGTTTATTTTATCAATAAAACAATTATCATTAATATATTTTTTTTTCAAACAGATAAAATAAAGATTAATAAAAATAAAATATTTTAAGACTCTCTTTATTTTTAGAAAAATGGACATATTAATTATATGATGAAAATCAATAATTTTTCAAGATACTAAAGCCTCTAATAAGATTAAATGTTGTATCATTACAAGAAATAGTTTATTATAAATTAGAAAATAGATATAATGTACCATAAATTACGAAATTCATTAATAAAGCATCCATATTTTATTATAAATTAGAAAATAGATATAATGTACGATAAATTACAAAATTCATTAATATATAGCATCTATATTTAAAAATATACAGTCATAATATAATTTAAAAAAGATCATGCGCCAATATATTTATTGTCCTGCGAATAGAATGGTTTTCGTCAACTTCTTATTAGCCCTTAGTCCTTCCTTATCCTTTAAATTGTGAAGATTTTTTATATATTTCCAATTTATTATCTATTTGTAAAAATAACATTTAAGAAATATTTTAAAAGTAATTACAGCTCCATTATTATTATTGATTAAAATTTTTTTATCACCGAGCATATTTCTAAGTAGCTTCATCATATGGCATATATCCAATATAACATACACTTTTGGATAACTGGTAGATGTTTTCTTAAATAAAATATTATTTGTATAATAAAAAAAATATATTGCTATCCATAAAATCAAAACATATCACTGATGTATATAGTAATTTAATAAATATGGCTCACTGGGATATTATCTCTAACAGGCTCTTCCAAGCCTTCCACTTAGAGTATTAATAGGTATTTCTAATTTTTTCTTATATTAATAATAAAATTTTTATTGATCTTTTATAAAGTAATAATATTTTACCTTTTTAGCTAAAGAGTAAATATTAGTAGCATAAGTATGATCATTTTTTTCTATATAGTTAAAATTTGTAGGAGTATTATTTGTATTCGATGAAATATTTGTTATCTTAAAAAAATATAATATTTAAAATAAATATATATTCAATATTTATACATCCTGAAGGTCAGATCCTTCCTTTAGAATAGCATTCCCTGAATGTGAGGGCATAAAACATTCAGGTTTGAAATGGGCTCCACAAAGCTTTGAAAACTTATTAGGAGTGAAATTTTCCTTATTCATTGCTTTAGCCATTTTGATAATAAAATTTCATTCATGATAGGAAATCTTAAAAAAATTTAATGTCTTAAATTAAGAAAAGAATCTTATAAAATAATAAATTAAAATATATACCCTATGAAAAGAAATTTTTTTATTAGAAGTTAAGCTTGTATTCTTGCATGAAGTACAGTGACTCATATCAATCTATCTTTAAATAAAAAACGATAATTATTAATTGAAGATATAGACAATTAAGGATAATTTTAGATGTAATTTTATCAAATAAAGGTAGGGCTGGCCAATTAGATAAATATATATGGGTAGACTAGACAGATAGATAAAGTATAAATATATTATTATTTTTTTATAGTTATATTTATTTTCTTATATAATGTTAAATAAAAAAATAAAAATAATAGATATAAATAAACTATTATTATATGATATGATGAATGATAATTATCAAAAAAAATATTATTTTATTTTTTTATATAATTTTATTCCTTATTTAATATAAAATTATAAACTTGGGTAACCATTTCATAAAATTTTTATGTCAGCCTGGACATTTTTAGATATTTGAAAATTTAGAGCTAATATTCTTATTTATACTGTATAAAAATATATTACAATATGTACATTTATTTCTATTTTAAGAGCTATAAATAGAATACTAAATTTAAAAATAATATAGTTAATTAACAAAAATCAGATTTAAATTTTTATAACTTTTGGGCTAAGCATTATACAATTTTTATATATTTTTAAAAACAACCTTCAAAATAAAACAATTTCTAAATCTTGAGTTATAAAATTGATACTTACCTAAGCCCTAGATTGACTTATAATATGAATATTCTTATATAATCTTATCTATAGGTATATAATTGCACACAGTAAATAATAAGATTGCTAACTTGAATAAAAATTGCTGATGCTTACCTGCACATTATAAGCAAAAAGCTTAAACTTATTTTATAATATATGACTATATTATTGCAATAATTGGATATTAATAATTTAGAAAATAAAAATAATGCTTTTGATAAAATAAAATGTTTGATTAATAAAATTAAATAAGTAGCAAATTAAATATAAAATTTAACAGATCATGGTAATAAAAACTAACTATGGGAAAATAATTCATATTAATATAACCATAGTATATTGATTAAAATATTTACTTAACAAATTCAAATATGCTATTGAGCAAATTATCATCGATGTAACAAATATGGTGTTTATGGCGTCTCCAGCTGATTTGCATTTATACGTGCTTAAAAAGGCATTTTAATGAATGAATCGTCAGTCTAGGTATTATTATATGTCATTGGGCTAGACACCCTGTCATTTGCCTTTACTACCTTGCAAGTTCCTGATCCTGCCAGCAAAAAATCTCTGACACAGCAAATCAAGGATGCTACTATCTACCCCTTACCCAACAATCACTTTTCCACATCTTTTAAAGGTGATGACACTAATAAAAATAAAAATCACAAAAATGACCTACTCACCAAGGCCAAGCTTATATCTAAAAAGCTGGATAACCTGAATGTTAAATCCGCTATACGACTGGCAACATCTGACAATAAGCTAGCTTCCTACGATCAAACAACTTATCAAGCTCTTCTCCTAAAACATCACCCACACGATCTTAAGGACAAAATACCGTCTTACCCCTGCAACCACTTTTACCTCAAGCGAGGTTAGAAAGGCTATTCTCTCCTTCAAACGCGATTCTTCACTGGTGGTTGATGGGTTTCGCCCAATATTCCTACAGGATCTAACCGCACCTTACATCACACAACAATGCGACGTTTTGGAAAAAATTACTCAACTCATCAACCGTATGCTTGCTGGAGGCTTACCACCCGCCATTATTCCACTCCTTTATGGAGCTAAACTCATCGCCCTCCATAAACCTAATAAAGATATTCGCCCTATCGCTATTGGGACCACTTGGCGCCGATTAACCGCAAAGCTAGTAGTGAGCAGAATATTGTTCACAGTATCCAATCACCTGTGCCTTAATCAATTAGGATTCAACTCTAAAAGGGGGATGTGAGGTATCCCTACACATGACCAGAATGTATCTACAAACAGACCCAGTGACGATATCCTAATTAAGATATATTTTTCAAACGCTTTTAACTCTCTAAAACGTACAGCGTTTCTTAATCTCATCCTTACCCTTTACCCAGAATACTCTCAATTCATCTTCGATTGTTATGCTAGTCCATCGCATCTTCAATTTGGAGATAGATTGATTCCTTCTAGTAGTGGAATACAACAAGGTGACCCTCTAGGCTCCTTTTTATTCTGTCTGGGCATTAATAGCCTAATACAAGGCATAAATGACCAATGTAAACTAAACCTTCATAACTGGTATATCGACGATGGTATACTAGGCGGCTCACCCAGCGAAGTTATGAAGGCGGTCGAAATAATAAAATCCAGCGAGAGCAGTTTGGGACTGCGAATCAATCAAGACAAGAGCGAATATTGTCCTCTTGGAATCATCGACCTTAACTATGATCCTATGTTCAATCATACACCATTGAACTGCTTAACACATCTCGGATCTCCAGTGGGTAAAGACGAGTCCTTTGTCAAGTTCTTCGCCGACACTCTACTAGAGATATCCCTTATGCGCGGTACACTATCTCGCCTCCCAGCCCACCAAGCGTTCTTTCTATTAAAGAACTACCTCCCAATCCCAAAAATTCTATATACACTCCGATCGTCACGTATCTTCCAATACGACGTCAACCTCGCTGCACACGAGCTAGAGATTAAACACCTCACAGGATATACTCAATCTCAAATTCGGAGACTTATCTTGGCTACAGGCTACCTTGCCAACCAAATCCGGCGGCATTGGCATACGATCGCCTTCCCTACTCTCTGTTAGTGCGTTCATATCCTCTCGCCTGTCCTGCGAGCCCATCATACACGCACTCACAAAACATCCTGACCTTACTTCCCCAGGCAATTGATCTATGGAAATCTCTTTCAATAGTCGATCCTCTCTCATCGGCACTGCAGAAGGACTGGGATAAGCCTCTAGTTGGCAACTACGTTGCATACCTTAAATCGATGAGCCAACCCGAGGACCATTCTCTACTCTTCTCCACGCAGACAGCGGGTATGAATTTCTCGAAGCTTTTCCATCGCGAAACCTTGACCAGCTCCTAAGCAATGATGAGCTACGTCACGCCATCGGTCTAAGACTTAATTGTGATATGGTAATACCCTATCACTGCATCCTTTGTCAAACGCCGGTCAACTCCAAAGGCCGTCACTCTTTACACTGCAAGCGCTGTAGAGGTAGATTCATTAGACATTCAAAATGCAATGATACTATTGCCAGGGCCCTAAAATCAGCCAGTATCCCATCAACCCTCGAACCTACTGGACTCTACAATTCTGATGGTAAGCGTTCCGATTACCATGATCCCTTGGAAGAGGGGGGAATTCCTAACCTGGGATTTCTCATGCATCGATCCCCTTGCCCCTTCCAATATAAATAGAGATGCTCTAGTAGACGCCGAAACGAATAAACTCGCTAAGTATTCGCCATCGCTTCCGGCCAATTACACATTCCTACCACTAATCGCCACGAGTCTAACGTCGTTCGGCTCTCATGCCCTGGCCTTCTTTAAAGAGCTGGGGAAACGGATCTCTACTAGGACCGAAGATCCCAACGAGGGTTACTACCTACGCCAAAGATTAGCCCTCAATATAATAAAATCCAATTACCTCAGCTTCATATTCTCAATGACTGATACCCCCTAATCACAGAATCGGCGATGAGAAAAGCAATTAAGAACAAGAGAGGAATATTCAGATGTAAGAAGAAAAAGTGAAGGGCAAACTATGAAAACTCATAATTCTTTTAAATCATATGCTCAATTTATTATATTAATTTACTATATATTTATTTATATTATTTAAATATATTATTATTTATCCTTAAAAGATATACTAACAAATGTGATTATTTTTTAAATTGACATATTAATGAAATTTACTATTATATTGATCGTTATTATATCATACATTTTTTATTGAAATATTTACGAATTAATGTGTTACTTATTAAATAAAAGTGATATAGGCATTTAAATATTTTTTTATATATAATTTGATTAAAATCTTTAAATCAAAAAGGCATTTTTTAAAATCTGTTGTTTGTCACAACATTGGGAATATTCTACTTTAGTAATTTATTTTAAATTTTTTTAGAGTTGTTCCCACACCAAACATATATAATTCTACATCCGGCAGTGAATGGGGTCGTTTGGAATTAATAACAAAAATATATAAATAATATATTAAAATTTCAAACCACAATTTCTTGTTATATAAATAAAATTGTTTTGGCATCGAACTTCTCAAACTTGCCCGGTACCAATGAAATTAATATACTATTATTTTCCCCAAAACAATTGTTAAGTTGATTCCAATAAGCCCTTGTATATCTCATATTCAAATTTCCAGTATAGCATTTTTTAATATCAGATACGACAAATATTTTTGTATATATAGAGAATTATACCTAGATTAGACCGACAAGACCATATGTCTGTGTCTTTCATACACCAATTTTATTTAAATAAACAAATTTTAACTAATATCGTCAAGATGGGATTTGACAGGTCTACTAGTTTTATATGCTGATTTTTTTTAAAAGAAAGTTAATTGATAATGCCCAAATATGCTTTTTGATCAAATTTTACCTAAAATTCCAATTTTTTTTGTAAAAAATTTTTTATAAGGAGTTCTGAATTTTGTTTCAAAGAATCAATTTTTTATAAAAGAATAATTTTAATCTTAAAATTTTTTTTTGTTGATTTAAAAAAAATTCCAATTTTGTGATCTTCAAATAATTTTTACTCCAAAATAAAAAAATCTCCAAGATATATTTACTCTAAAAAAATCCTTTGATATATATATATTTACTATTCATATCAGAAAATGTTTTTGATCTAAGTATAAGTTTTCGCTCTATATTATTAATATTATTATGATATTATTATTGATTATTATTTTTGTATTAAAAAAATTGATGTTGTAAAATATTAATATGATTAGTAATAGATTTTATATTTTAATATTTATAAAATAAGAGATATAATAAAATTTATATGTTGAAATTTTTTTTTTGGGGGGGGGGGGGGGGGGGGGGGGTAATTCTTTAGAAAACAATCATAAATGTTCATTTTTAAGAAGTCAATCGTAAAAGTAATTCTTGAGAAAACAATCGTAAAAGTAAATTCGAGAAGTCAATCGTAAAGTTCTGCCGTTATTTTATTGGATCACGGAGAAGATATCTGGGAAAAGTGGACGCAGTGTACTTATAAAATATACGATCACGTTGGAAAATAAAGAAGAAATTCGAAATGAGGTAAAATTGTTCGATTAAATGATATATATTGTTTAATAGTAATTTTGATAATAATTGCATTAGCTTACCTTTTATCATTAAAATTGTAAAAATATTTTTGATAAAATTATTAATAAGTCTTTTATTAGGCTTAATTTAGAATATAAAAATTATAAGGTAAGATTAAAATTTTAAAAATGTTTAATAAAAAGAATATCAGAGCATATAGTTATAAACAAGTAGAATAGAAAAATTATGTAATGAAATATAAATGTTGAAAAATGATGAAAAAAATGGAATAGTAAAAACAGATAGAAAATAAAAAAAAGAGATTGAAATTGAAAAAATGAGAGAAGAATGGGAGTGAAAGAAAAGAGATAGAAGAATTGGATAGGACAAAAAAAATCGGATAAAATTGAGTTAGAAAATAAGGAATAAGAAATTTTGAAAGTAAAAATAGTAGAAATGAAAATAAAGATAAAGGAATTGGAGGAAAAGAATGAAAAAAAGGAATGGATCAAAAATATGTAAATAATTGAATGGGAAATGGATATAGAGTTGAATATAGAAGGAATCAATCGAATAGGATGGGTCAAAATGGTGCAAGTTATAGTTTTGGAAAATATGGTCGTATTAGCAGAGAATGTAATGAAATGATAAATTAAAGAATGTTACCAGTAGTTTGTATAAGATGTGGAAACAAAGGAAATAATGCCGAAGTTACGTTCCGATATACAAGTTATTAAATGAAAAACTAGAAATTATGGTTGCGTGAAAATTGTGGGAATTTTGGGCATAATCAGGATAAGTGTTATAAAAATCAACAGGGAATTCAAAAACATTTCCAGCGGTGGAATACAGAAAAAATGAAGGGAAAAATACATATGAAAAGAGAAATGTGGAAGATATAAGGTTTTT